TTTTGAGTGGATTTGAGGGAGTGGATTTGAGGGGATTTGAGAGGATTTGAAGATAATTTTTTTTGTCGTTTTTTTGAGCGAATTTGGAGGTAAATAAGAGTGAATTTGAAAATAAAATTTGTGAGAATTAGTATAGAATTGTATTGACGTGACAAATTAAAAAAAATTATTTTCAAATTCACTCTCATTTACCTCCAAATTCGCTCAAGAAAACGACAAAAAAAATTATCTTCAAATCCTCTCAAATCCCCTCAAATCCACTCCCTCAAATCCACTCAAAAGAACAAGCCCTTAGTTTCCAACGGCTCTAAACCAGAAGATGATAGAGGTAAGCTTGTTGATGGGACAAGAGAGGATCCAAATTTGAAAACAGAAGTTGTCGGATATGAAGATGCCACCACTGGGGTAGAAGAACTGCTATTACTTGATGCCATTTTGCCAGTCGTCATACTTGCCATGCTACTGCCATTAGAATCTGCCATGTTAATGGCACTGCTTTGAACAGCAGGTAAACTACTGAATATATTCGGACTGGTAAAATTACCAGATACAGGGGGTGGAAAAGAAGAGAACGAAGGGCTTGCAAGAGACCCATTATTTTGATTTGAATTGTTCCCAAAATTGAATATACTCTTGGACGATGTCAAAAATCCCAATTCCTAATTCGATCCATTCAAAATCTGAATCCCCATTTTGTTTTAAAACATTCATTTTTTTTACTTAAAAAATTGTTATTATTCACGTGCTTCATTGCCCCTCCTTCAGTCAGTCACGTTAGTTAAGAAACTGACTATAGCGTGACACGTCAAATACAAACTAATACCGTTGGAGACAATTTAACGGAAAGAATCCAATTGTTGCAATTTTCATAAATTTGGGATCTAATTGAGATTTCCAGAAACAAAAGAACTAAATTGAGATTCCACGTGAAAATAAAAACTTCGTGAATGATTAAACCTGAAAAAAAAAAACTATGATCATGAACCACTATGAAGTAGCAGTAGGCATGTAGGACCACTTTCTCAAGAAGGGTCACTTTAAACTGCACTGCCCCATCCACTGTGTGTACTCTATTTTTTGGTCCACCATAAAGTCACAATTATAATCACATTCACAAATACATAACCTTAGTTATATGACTTTTTCAGTTTGGCCTATACTGTACTTACATGAGCAAATTGTTTCAACTGCCACACATTGTCAAGGTTTGATTTGATGTTTATGTTTTAAATGTTACATCATGGATGAGAAAGCTCAAGCTTAACTCTTGCCAATAATACCAAAATTTTCTTATACGGGGGACAAATCTAGCTGACATTTCAATACACACTATAAGTGTTTACATTTTCTTGAGAATCAAAATAGGCTATGCTTACAATTACATCAGATGACAATTGTTTTGTTGAAAATCATGTTGAATTAGTCAAAGTAGACATTAATGCTTAAAACCTTATTCCTATGTTTTTTTTTTATATAATCGAATTATCTGTATAAAGCATCATATCATATCATATCAAACTTTTTACACATGGCCACAGCTGTTTGACCTTAGACTTTTGCACATCAAATGACACCTTTTGACAGTTTATCCCTCCAAGCCTTCAGCCTCACGCTTGAGCTAAAAGATGTTTTTGTTAATATTCTTTTTGATGGAAGAACACTAGATTTTATGCCCAGGACAAGAGTCTCAAACTTAAAACCTTATTTCAAGTTAAAGAGAAAATAGGATGTATAAGTTCTATTATACTATTCTATATCTTTTTGTTTTCTAAATTGTGATTTTTGTTTTCCTTGAAATTCATGGATGTAATTCTTCTTTCCCACTGTATTAACTAATTTGTCAAACAATTATCATTGCTAAACAAAAAAAAACTGCATTTATAGATTTTTTAAGTATAAGAACCTAACATATCAAAATTAAAAAAATGAAAGAAAACCAAAATCAAGTTATACTTAATCCATCCAATATATATATTCTTGACTTTTAAAGTTATGTTTATTGATTAAAATACAAAAGCAATTGTCTTGACAATTCATAGAAACAAAAACTTGGTAAAAAAGTATAAAGACTGATTAGAAAACACTACGATTAAGGAATTGGTGTGATATGAGGCTGAAATTTTGAAAAGTGGTGAATCTTAATTCACCTATCAACCGAAGGGAGAGTTAATCAAAGTTGGTTCTAGGTATAAATCATCCATATTGTCTTTACAAGGTGGGGTCACTACATTTGAAGACATGCTACATGCCACCTATAGGACATTACAACCAACCATGAAAGCGACCATATGATCACAGTGTCAGCAGAGAAAAGTGTCACAAAAAGAAAAGGCCAATGTTAAAAGCAAAGTGAATAATTACATCAACCAGAATCCACCGGCAATAACTAATGGAATAGATATCTCACTCCCTCATGGTAGAGTAGATAGATAGGAAAGAAAAACAGGGGATAGTACAATTGAGATTGGAAGAAAATTAGATGAACTTCCTTTGATACTTTTGATGATATTCTTCTTCTGTCAGAATTGAAGTTTCATTTCAGTGATCAATGTCCATGTTTATTGCAAACCTTTATTATGTCAATTACTAATATAAAACTCCAATTCTGATAGGAAAATAACACCAAAAGTGGCCAAAAAAACTCATCAAGTTTTGTCTTAAGAAAATACAACATAAGCACATGACTCATATGTGGAAGGGGGGTTTTGACAAAGCCAAGAAGATCCTTTACACAAACTCATCTAGATGACACATCTTCTAGATCATCGATCAAATCAGGTTGATGGATTTGGTCTTGAGTACCCTCTTTCATGGTACTACTAGACCTACGAAACTCTTCCATGCGTTGTCTCACTTGAGACATTGAAGGGCGGTTTCCAGGGTATGGAACTACACAATCCACTGCAAGTTGCAACAACTGAACCATTTCCTCTTCAGAATTCTGATACCTAAGGAGTTCAATATCAAACACCTCTGAACTCCATTCCTCTCTAACCACTGATTGGACCCATCTCGGAAGGTCCACTCCTTCCTCATTCAAGAGGGTATGTGTAGGAGCCTTTCCAGTCAGAAGTTCCAAGAGCAACACTCCAAAGCTGTATACATCAGCCTTCTGAGAAACTCGCCGTGGATCGGTTACTTCGGGGGCACGGTAGCCGGCCACCCTGTTGGGTGTGGATGAGGGGCCAACAAGGTGTGCAAGCCCAAAATCAGACACCTTGGCATCATAGGATTTGCTTAGGAGGATGTTGGAGGACTTTATGTTTCCATGAGAAACACTAGGCCCCTGTGAATGTAGGTACTCGATGCCACGAGCAGCTCCTAATGCAATGTCTGATCTCATTTCCCAATTCAACGGTGTCCTACCGGCTCCTTTGTTTCCTGTGATGATACAGAATTATAACTTCAACTTCTTTCTTTTTGCTAGTGTTCATGCCAATCAATGACATGACACACTATTTCATGTTAACACAGTTGCAACAAAGAGGTCTGTGTAGTGTAGGAGTTTGAAAGCTTATGCCAATTTACATATTTGGTTACACTTCTGTTATGTAATGTCCAGATATGGCCAAAGCCACAAACTATAAGATGCAATGCAAACAAATTATGATTCATTCTTAAAGAGTGCTAGTACGTACACTCTCTTCCCTCTTCCATTGTCAATTATGCATTCTCCAAAAATGAACACAGTAAGGCAAATTGCAGAAATCGTTCTACAGAAAAAACTCATACCATAAACAGCAAAGAAAACATCAAATCACAACCACAAAAATTCAAGACAACCGAATTATGTGCATGTTAAAACTGAGCATGTGATAGCATCAAACTAAAGTGAGGCTGAACTCACCATGCAAAATTGCAGATAGGCTTCCCATTGGCATGTAATCATGAACAAGAAGCTTCTCGTCCCTGCTATAATAGTAAGCCCTGAGAGGCACCAAATTCTCATGATCCATCACTCCCACCCCATCAATCTTCTCCTTAAACTCCTTCTCCGAAACCGTCACATCCCTCAGCCTCTTCACAGCCACCACAGGCCCTTCCTCTAAAACAGCCTTATAGGTGGTCCCAAAAGTTCCTTTTCCCAACACCTCTGCAGAAGCCCTTAGCAAATCCTCCAAATCAAACACCTTCACTTTATTCCCATAAAACACCAACTTCTTATCTCCACCACTTCCACCGCCAACTCCATTCCCACCCACTGCCGCCACTGCCGCCGCCGCCGCCGCTGCGGCCACCGAATCCCCACCACCACCAGCACCACCACCACTCTCCACATTACCACCCTCAATTCCCACCTCCCCATGCTGTTGAGGTTCCTCCTTCAAGCCCACCACGTTGCTAACATTATCAACACTCCTAGTCTTGTTCCCGCTTCTACACAAAATAATCAAAGCAAAGAGAACCAACAAAAGTGCCACCACGCACCCAACAACAATCCCTGCAATTGCACCCCCAGAAAGCTTCCCCTTCTTCTTTCCCCCTCCAATCACACTCCCTCCACCTCCTCCAACCCCACTTGAATTTGAACTCCCATTTACACCACTCTCGCCACCTCCATCATCCCAGGGACAAATCCCAAGTGGCTTCCCACAAAGGGTATTGCCCAAAAACGAATCTTTATCAAAAGTCTGCAACTTTTTAGGAACAGAACCGTTTAACATGTTGTAAGAGACATTAAACTGAGCCAATTCACCGAGTTCCTCCAAACCGGGTATGGAACCAGTGAGCCGATTATTCTCAAGGAAAAGGGTCCTCAACCGGGTGAGGTTCCCGAACCGGGCCGGAAATGGGCCGGAAAAGTTGTTGGAGGCCAAATTGAGCCGGACGAGGCCAGTCATGCCGGAGAGAAACGCCGGCACCTCGCCGGCGAAGTGGTTCTGTTGGAGGAATAGGTTGCGGAGGGCGGTGCAGGCAGCAAGGTCGGCCGGGAGGGCGCCAGAGAGGGAGTTGACGCGGAGGCTGAGGGTGTGGAGGTTGGGGAGCTCCGGGAACACACCGTCCGGAAGCTCGCCGGAGAGAGCGACGGCAGGGAGGTGAAGCTCCACCACGGTGGCATTGGCGGCATCGCATTGGACGCCGGGCCAGACGCAAGGCGAGCGGAAGGTGGTGTTCCAGAGGAGCGTACGGCCGCGCACGGCGGAGCGCAGGGCGAGGAGCGCCGCGCGCTCCGACGAGAGGTCGGAGAGTGTTGAAGAAAAGAAGGAAAAGAGAAAGAGAATGGTGGGAAAGAGTTTGTGAGAATGTTGCATTGTTGTTATGTGTGCTTTTGGTTTGAGAATTCAGACACTCCTAAGTAGTTCTGTTTTTCTGGTGTGTGTGTTTTGATTTTAGAGACATCAAAATAAAGTTAAAACGTGTGAATAACAAGATTTTTGCATTGGTGTTAGATCGATGATGTTGTGAGAGAAAGAAAGTTGGTAAGAAGAGGAAGAAAAGTTGATAGATATACACAGATACTCACTTTTTGTATTTGATTTCACACATATCAGTCTTCAAACGACTGAATTTATGAATATGTATTATTTACATCTTTCTGAAACAATTTATAGATTAAACATAGAGTTTAATTAGAATATGTTAGGAACTTAGGAAACAGACACCTTTCATTACTATGATCATTAATTAATGTAGAAAACCTTCCATTAAACCACCCTCTTTTCTGATAGCTGATTCTCGTGCTATTTCATAAACTTCTTTTTGTATAACTTTTATCAAAAGAGGAAACTTTTTTTAAGGAAAAAAGTTATTTATTTAAATTTAAATGTTTTTTTAAAATAAATAATATAATTAGGTTTAAAAAGTTTACAATGAATGAAGAATTGAAAACTTGAACTGGGTCAAACTTATTAAATAGTTTATATATTGTGATTAACGTATATGATAATATGAATAATTTTTTTTTAAAATATGTTAAAAGTTATATTAGAATATATTTTTCATTCCGTCGTGAATGGACATACATGAAAAGTTATTGGCTTTTATAATTATTTTTTATAATTCTAGCCTTGATTATTTTTATTTAGTTAACAACGACATTTTATATTAATAATAATTTAACAAAACTAAATTCTTATAATATCAAATGACTCTAGAAAGAAAGAAGAATAAATAATTTATTAAAGGATGATGTTGAATGTTGTGTGTTGAGTCAGGCTGTCAAAACGAAACCCTACATGCACAGTAAAGTGAGTGATGCAATTTTTTTTTTAATTTTTGAACGGAAATTTTTCAATCTCCATGAGATTTTAATGAAATATTAATTAAAAAAAGTAAAACATCATTAAAAATGTTTTTGAAAATATGCAATTGGTCGTATCTATAGTATACTTAAAAAACATCATTGTACGATTTTTGCTGATTCAGAAATAATCTGCTGGTGTATGTGTTTAATTTACTGTTTGTAGTATGACTTTTTTTTTTGTTTTATATTTGGGTCATCCTTTCATGCAATAGTAAAGAAAATGATATGTTTTTTTTATTTAGATAAAATAAATAAAATAATGTAATGTATAATCGAATTATAAATAATTAATGTATAGATAAACACCTTTAATTTTTTTATGTTATAGTTTTAATATTGAAATATTTGATTTATAATATTATCAATTTATTTGGTAATGAGTACGTGTTTTAATATTAAAATTTTGTTATATATTTGATTTTGTGAAGAAAGCCACACGTTTATCTACAAAATAAGATGATGTCATACCAACAGATAACAACATTTTTTTTCTAGGTAATGTTGTGTGTAATCTGTACTAGTAGCTATTTTACATTATTTATTTTATGTCATTAATTAGTTTATCCAATATTCAAAATTAAAATTTATAAGTTGGACTTAATTCTATAAATTTATATTAGATACTTAAAAATTCACAACTTGGTAGTTTAAATTTTATAGATTATTAATATAATGCAGTTGGTTAGTTAAGTATGTTGATACATTAAAATAATATATTTATACATTAAAAGATCATGAACTATATATGTACGAGTAAAAAGGAAGAATTGGTTCAAACATTGGTTTCATATTTGTTTCAAACGCAATCTTTAAGAATGAAAAACAAAAAACAATATTAATCATTACTTGTTTCGATAAAATGTCACATGTAGCATTATTTTTGGTCATGCAAAATAAATTCACCCACGTGATCATAATTTTAAAAGAAACTAATAATAAAGACATGAAACAATATATATTATTACAAATGAAACACTAATTCTTTCTTTAAAATATTTTACAATGAGAATAATATTAAGAAATACTTTACAATAATAAAAAAGTCACAAAAATACAAAACAACTGTTAAAAATTTAAAAGCGAATTTAAGTTTGATATTAAGTAGAGATGATAAAATTGAATAAAAAAATGGAGGATTTATAAATGTTAAGATTTTGGGATTGGAAATAATGTGATATTTTTATGCAGAATAAATTCATATTTTATTGGTGTTATCTCTCTTCTTCTAGTTAATCCTCAATGAAAATATTCATTAATAGTATCAGAGTTAATGACTATCGGATTTGGTGATTAACTCAAAACAAGTTCCAATATCAAAAGTTTTTCTATAGAAGGTCAAAGAAGTGTATCTCGTTAATATAAATGACGATACAAGTAATAGAACACTCTATATTTAAAATGTTTTTCTCGAAGAGAAGACACAAATGTTGAATAACATATAAGAAAAAATATCAATAAATTTATTATTTCAAAACGATGTCAACATTTTATATAAATTAAATTTATGTCTTATTGTTTCTATCTAGTAAATCTCCTATCATTAGCTAGANCACTCTCTTCCCTCTTCCATTGTCAATTATGCATTCTCCAAAAATGAACACAGTAAGGCAAATTGCAGAAATCGTTCTACAGAAAAAACTCATACCATAAACAGCAAAGAAAACATCAAATCACAACCACAAAAATTCAAGACAACCGAATTATGTGCATGTTAAAACTGAGCATGTGATAGCATCAAACTAAAGTGAGGCTGAACTCACCATGCAAAATTGCAGATAGGCTTCCCATTGGCATGTAATCATGAACAAGAAGCTTCTCGTCCCTGCTATAATAGTAAGCCCTGAGAGGCACCAAATTCTCATGATCCATCACTCCCACCCCATCAATCTTCTCCTTAAACTCCTTCTCCGAAACCGTCACATCCCTCAGCCTCTTCACAGCCACCACAGGCCCTTCCTCTAAAACAGCCTTATAGGTGGTCCCAAAAGTTCCTTTTCCCAACACCTCTGCAGAAGCCCTTAGCAAATCCTCCAAATCAAACACCTTCACTTTATTCCCATAAAACACCAACTTCTTATCTCCACCACTTCCACCGCCAACTCCATTCCCACCCACTGCCGCCACTGCCGCCGCCGCCGCCGCTGCGGCCACCGAATCCCCACCACCACCAGCACCACCACCACTCTCCACATTACCACCCTCAATTCCCACCTCCCCATGCTGTTGAGGTTCCTCCTTCAAGCCCACCACGTTGCTAACATTATCAACACTCCTAGTCTTGTTCCCGCTTCTACACAAAATAATCAAAGCAAAGAGAACCAACAAAAGTGCCACCACGCACCCAACAACAATCCCTGCAATTGCACCCCCAGAAAGCTTCCCCTTCTTCTTTCCCCCTCCAATCACACTCCCTCCACCTCCTCCAACCCCACTTGAATTTGAACTCCCATTTACACCACTCTCGCCACCTCCATCATCCCAGGGACAAATCCCAAGTGGCTTCCCACAAAGGGTATTGCCCAAAAACGAATCTTTATCAAAAGTCTGCAACTTTTTAGGAACAGAACCGTTTAACATGTTGTAAGAGACATTAAACTGAGCCAATTCACCGAGTTCCTCCAAACCGGGTATGGAACCAGTGAGCCGATTATTCTCAAGGAAAAGGGTCCTCAACCGGGTGAGGTTCCCGAACCGGGCCGGAAATGGGCCGGAAAAGTTGTTGGAGGCCAAATTGAGCCGGACGAGGCCAGTCATGCCGGAGAGAAACGCCGGCACCTCGCCGGCGAAGTGGTTCTGTTGGAGGAATAGGTTGCGGAGGGCGGTGCAGGCAGCAAGGTCGGCCGGGAGGGCGCCAGAGAGGGAGTTGACGCGGAGGCTGAGGGTGTGGAGGTTGGGGAGCTCCGGGAACACACCGTCCGGAAGCTCGCCGGAGAGAGCGACGGCAGGGAGGTGAAGCTCCACCACGGTGGCATTGGCGGCATCGCATTGGACGCCGGGCCAGACGCAAGGCGAGCGGAAGGTGGTGTTCCAGAGGAGCGTACGGCCGCGCACGGCGGAGCGCAGGGCGAGGAGCGCCGCGCGCTCCGACGAGAGGTCGGAGAGTGTTGAAGAAAAGAAGGAAAAGAGAAAGAGAATGGTGGGAAAGAGTTTGTGAGAATGTTGCATTGTTGTTATGTGTGCTTTTGGTTTGAGAATTCAGACACTCCTAAGTAGTTCTGTTTTTCTGGTGTGTGTGTTTTGATTTTAGAGACATCAAAATAAAGTTAAAACGTGTGAATAACAAGATTTTTGCATTGGTGTTAGATCGATGATGTTGTGAGAGAAAGAAAGTTGGTAAGAAGAGGAAGAAAAGTTGATAGATATACACAGATACTCACTTTTTGTATTTGATTTCACACATATCAGTCTTCAAACGACTGAATTTATGAATATGTATTATTTACATCTTTCTGAAACAATTTATAGATTAAACATAGAGTTTAATTAGAATATGTTAGGAACTTAGGAAACAGACACCTTTCATTACTATGATCATTAATTAATGTAGAAAACCTTCCATTAAACCACCCTCTTTTCTGATAGCTGATTCTCGTGCTATTTCATAAACTTCTTTTTGTATAACTTTTATCAAAAGAGGAAACTTTTTTTAAGGAAAAAAGTCATTTATTTAAATTTAAATGTTTTTTTAAAATAAATAATATAATTAGGTTTAAAAAGTTTACAATGAATGAAGAATTGAAAACTTGAACTGGGTCAAACTTATTAAATAGTTTATATATTGTGATTAACGTATATGATAATATGAATAATTTTTTTTTAAAATATGTTAAAAGTTATATTAGAATATATTTTTCATTCCGTCGTGAATGGACATACATGAAAAGTTATTGGCTTTTATAATTATTTTTTATAATTCTAGCCTTGATTATTTTTATTTAGTTAACAACGACATTTTATATTAATAATAATTTAACAAAACTAAATTCTTATAATATCAAATGACTCTAGAAAGAAAGAAGAATAAATAATTTATTAAAGGATGATGTTGAATGTTGTGTGTTGAGTCAGGCTGTCAAAACGAAACCCTACATGCACAGTAAAGTGAGTGATGCAATTTTTTTTTTAATTTTTGAACGGAAATTTTTCAATCTCCATGAGATTTTAATGAAATATTAATTAAAAAAAGTAAAACATCATTAAAAATGTTTTTGAAAATATGCAATTGGTCGTATCTATAGTATACTTAAAAAACATCATTGTACGATTTTTGCTGATTCAGAAATAATCTGCTGGTGTATGTGTTTAATTTACTGTTTGTAGTATGACTTTTTTTTTTTGTTTTATATTTGGGTCATCCTTTCATGCAATAGTAAAGAAAATGATATGTTTTTTTTATTTAGATAAAATAAATAAAATAATGTAATGTATAATCGAATTATAAATAATTAATGTATAGATAAACACCTTTAATTTTTTTATGTTATAGTTTTAATATTGAAATATTTGATTTATAATATTATCAATTTATTTGGTAATGAGTACGTGTTTTAATATTAAAATTTTGTTATATATTTGATTTTGTGAAGAAAGCCACACGTTTATCTACAAAATAAGATGATGTCATACCAACAGATAACAACATTTTTTTTCTAGGTAATGTTGTGTGTAATCTGTACTAGTAGCTATTTTACATTATTTATTTTATGTCATTAATTAGTTTATCCAATATTCAAAATTAAAATTTATAAGTTGGACTTAATTCTATAAATTTATATTAGATACTTAAAAATTCACAACTTGGTAGTTTAAATTTTATAGATTATTAATATAATGCAGTTGGTTAGTTAAGTATGTTGATACATTAAAATAATATATTTATACATTAAAAGATCATGAACTATATATGTACGAGTAAAAAGGAAGAATTGGTTCAAACATTGGTTTCATATTTGTTTCAAACGCAATCTTTAAGAATGAAAAACAAAAAACAATATTAATCATTACTTGTTTCGATAAAATGTCACATGTAGCATTATTTTTGGTCATGCAAAATAAATTCACCCACGTGATCATAATTTTAAAAGAAACTAATAATAAAGACATGAAACAATATATATTATTACAAATGAAACACTAATTCTTTCTTTAAAATATTTTACAATGAGAATAATATTAAGAAATACTTTACAATAATAAAAAAGTCACAAAAATACAAAACAACTGTTAAAAATTTAAAAGCGAATTTAAGTTTGATATTAAGTATAGATGATAAAATTGAATAAAAAAATGGAGGATTTATAAATGTTAAGATTTTGGGATTGGAAATAATGTGATATTTTTATGCAGAATAAATTCATATTTTATTGGTGTTATCTCTCTTCTTCTAGTTAATCCTCAATGAAAATATTCATTAATAGTATCAGAGTTAATGACTATCGGATTTGGTGATTAACTCAAAACAAGTTCCAATATCAAAAGTTTTTCTATAGAAGGTCAAAGAAGTGTATCTCGTTAATATAAATGACGATACAAGTAATAGAACACTCTATATTTAAAATGTTTTTCTCGAAGAGAAGACACAAATGTTGAATAACATATAAGAAAAAATATCAATAAATTTATTATTTCAAAACGATGTCAATATTTTATATAAATTAAATTTATGTCTTATTGTTTCTATCTAGTAAATCTCCTATCATTAGCTAGTACATTATTAAAAAAATTGTTGATATAACCAATTTGATCTCTTTAGACAACATATGGATCATACTTTGATCCTTTACATAAATTTTTCATCAAAGGAGTAACTTTGATTCAATGTTGGTTGTGACTTATAAGTCCCACGTAACGTTATAATTCTTTCTTCTGAAATGGTAAGTTGGTGAAAATTTTACTCTCACAGTTGATGATTGTAGACTTTATAGATCCAACCTAATAAATAATTGACAAGTCATGATAAAAGAAGAAGAAGAAGATAGATGTAGGACCATCAATAAGTAACTTCCATTTCACAGTTTCAGCTTTGGAAAGTAAATGGACAATGAGAATAGAAAATGGAAAACAATCTAACCTACACTACAATCTAAAACTAAACAATCTAAACATGAACAAAATCAAACTATAATAGAATGGAAAGTGTTGGTGTGATTTTTTTGTACACATTTTTCTTGTGGTGTCCACAACCACAGAGAAATATCAACACAGACTTAGCTGTTTTGAAGGGCATGAGCTAGTTGGAAAGCTAGTGAATTAGGTTACTTTTCTATGAACACTTTAGACAGAGAGATATATAATAAGTTTCCAATTTGGTTACCCATGTGAAGACCAGAGCAATTCACCTAGACCTACTTTTCCAACTCCTATGTTTTCTTGTACCATAAAGAGAAGTTTGTTCTGTATGTGAAGCTAATTTTGCTAGGAAAAACCTCAAATAGGATATGGTGGTTGTTCATAAGAAAGCATTGATGAATGTCTTCTTAATCACTCAAAGATTTATGGCTAGTTGTAGGATTTTGAAACAATAATTGAATTTGGTGGATGTGTTAAGAAGGATATGTAGATTGTAAAACAAGAAAACTAACACTTGCACAGTTACTTACTCTTATTATGGAGAAGGATGTGCTTTTGCTACAAACCAAATTGTGGTCCATTGTGGTTGCTAACATATGCATATTGTCAAAGCATGAAAATGGAGTTTTGTTAGACATATTTGAATTTGTAATCTTGAAGTGCTTTTGCTTCTATTTTTTTATTTTATATTTTATATTTTACTTGGCAAATGTTTTTTGCTGCCTTCATGTTGGAGTACACTTGAACAAATTTTAAATTAAACATCTCTAACCATCATATTTACTTAAGTAAAATGATATTTATGCAAAACATAATCACACAATTAAATTAAATGAAAAAAAAATGTATGACATGCAATTAATGGTAATTTATTTTAATTCCTTTTCTTGTGCAATGTAATATACATCAAATTATTAATAATTTTATAAGATAAGATTTACACTTTACATTATAATAAATTGATTTTATTTTTTATTGATTGATATTATTTATTATAATAAATTGATTTTATTTCTAATTGATTAATATTATTTTTAATCGATACAGACTTATAACATCACATTAACTGGTAAAATAAATCAGAAGCTTTCTTTTTAAATTTTCTAAAAGATGGCTTTCATATATAAAGAAAAAACGTAAATAAAAGAAAATGTTCACTCAGACTGGGAATTGAAAGAATAAGAAAAGGTGGTGAACATCATGATTTCTCTACAGCCTGCCATAGTGCCATACAGAATGAAGGAACCTAAAGGCCATGAAAATATTTTCGAGAACTTTTTCATACAGAAATATCAAATAATCATATATCTAAAAAGTATATCATAAAATGCTAAACATATTTGTATAACTTGGTCCATTATTGAAGGATTCATTCTTGGAAACTTAATTAAATGTAACTCCTCCAGTTTATTTTGTTATTCATTAATCATTGTAAATATCGCAAGTCATAATATCAAAATGTATACAGTGAATCGCTTAAACAAAACAGTTCGTGATAATTAGGATTAAATTTTCTTCAAAGTTTAAGACATGTTTAGATTACAATTGAAATTCTTTAAAAAATATGCTTTAGAATAAAAGATACAATTTTTTAAAAATATGTTTAAAACGTATTTCCAAATTTGAACTTAGATATCTGAATCTAACCTTAAGTAGTTGCATAGGACTGTTGTCCCAATTATAGTTACATTTTAAAGTAACACTTTTAACAATGATGTATTCAGTGGAGGTTTTCATTTTAATGCAGACTGATTCAACTAAACATCATAAAGAGTAGTTACTTATTCATATAATTTCTTTAAAAGATGGAAAAATGGTTATTGGATAAATATATCCATTTGTAATAAAATAATGGGGAAAAGATTATTGAAATGTTAGCTCTTTGTTGGAGAAATGACAAAGAGTGTGGTTTATGATGTTATCAGTGAATTGATAATACACATAAAAGTAAATGTAAGTTGGAAGAGTATGAGCAATTATATTCAAAGTTCTTTAATTATTTGCACAATTTGAAATGATTTTAATTCGTACAACTTGACTTTAGCAACATGAAGGAATTGACAACTACGGTTTTTTATTTGAGTAACAGAAACTATAGGTTCTGAGGTGGTTGAATTATTAAAGCGATTTGCCTATTTTGGCTTTTGAATCATTAAACGGAATTCTAATTTCAACTACAACTTAGATGAAATGGTTGAAACTCTACTACAAAATATGATTACATTGGATTTCCTGAAGATAGATAAAAAAATGGAGCAGAATATTTCTCAACATTCTTATAGTGGGAATTGGACTGACCATAAACAAATAAGTTGTGGGGACATATCTTAAAACCTTTCTGTGTGATCTCCTTGCTAGCTCATATACAATACAACTGTGAAGTCTCTTACATTTACAAATGAGAGAGGAGGGAGAAAAAGAGAGAACCTTAACACAACCACCCCACTAATGCTAAAAAAATGGTAATTGTTAAAGTTCATAATGATTGGAAGTGAGAAAGTTATATAGCTTTTGAGTGATTAAATAAGGTTAAGGGGCTTTAGCAGTCTGTCTTATCTCAGTTGAGATGGGAAACTTTTGCATCAGGATTTGTCCAAACCATTATTTTGCCAGCTATGTACTTGGTGCTTTGATGAGTTGTTCATGTTACAGGTAGTGTTTCCATTTGTGTAGCTTGATTGACAAGACAAATATTGATGGATATTTATTAAGAATCCTTAGTTTGCATTAATAAATAATTTTTTTCAGGTAATCTAATGCAGAAGAGGTAGCAGGATACTAAGCAGTTATGTGTGGAGAGGTTCAGATGCAGCTTTATTTCAATGAAAGTTAATATTTAGTACTTGGCCAAATCATTATATGCACAATAAAGAGTTCTCTGCACCTCACCTTGTAGAATGTAGACCCAAGGCCAACATTTATGTGCCAGATTGTAAAGAAACCTAGGTTACATTGGAGTTGATATTTTATTTTAAACTTTATTGAAGTACTGAACCCCATTGACAACTTTCTTTACTGCATGTTTAGAATCCCATTTAAATGGTCAAATTTGTTTTGAAATATCAGTTCATATAATTTTAAATAAATATTTAGAACATGTTTAATTTTAGAAAGACAGATTGATTTAAATCAATGTTAATTTTGAATTAAGACGACTGTAAATAGATAGTGCAAAGCATGGAAAGACTTTAACTCATTTGATTAATGAATTTAGAAATAAAAATACCGAAGACATAATAACAATTTACTTCAAAATCCATTCTACAAAACTTAATTCAAAATTAACTTTACAAATGCGCACCCAATCAATTCCTGAAACTTAATTGACACTTTGATAAAGCTAAAAAAACAGATTCAATCATATATCATCGTGATAAATATGTTTCAACAATGAGAATTGGAACACTAGTCATCGCAATTTAATGAAGCAGTTCCTGAATGCAAACTATAAATTTTACAATTTCGTCACATTAAATCTTCAGCCAACAAATTCAGCTTTGATTAAAAAAAATGTTAGTAACGGGAACAAACTAGATTAAAAACTTGACAAAAAATTACCAAATCCAAATACAATATAGAACAATGCTAAGCAATCACATAGTTATTAACTTTTTTCCCGACTTTCTAGCAAGTTTGTGATCGTTAAAAAGGATTCACAATGCATGCCAACTTGAAGGGAAAGTTTCAGGGCGCCTTGCCCTGGCCTGGCTACAAAAGGTGAGTTCAAATCACCAGTCTTGGCTCCAACAGAATGTTTCAGGGGTATATAGAGCTAAAATAAATAGGAGAGAATTTCAGAAGAAAATTAACAATGGTTTGGGGTGTTGTGTAGTGGAACTCATCCTTACTCTACTTTCAATTCTGGTCTTTTGTAGTTTGAAAATAAGCTCAAACTAAACCTTTCCCCCCTTTGTACTTTCACATCTTTCCACCAAACATCAAGGCCTGAACAATAAAAACCTTTCCACCCCTCCACTCACTCCCCACCCTAATTTCTACTTTTCTAACTAAGCATGCTTTAATTTTTTTTCAGTGTTCTATTTAAGGACTCAGGTCTTTTCTGAAGCATCGAGTACTTAGACTTTGCTATCAAGGCAAAAATCCAAGTTACAACAAAAGCAACAAAAGAGAAATTAAGGACAGACGGTCTTTGGTCAGCATATCTCCGTATTAATGCTGATGTATCCATGCTAATTGAAGCAAACCTTTCATCGGACTGTCTTCCACTGTACATAAAAAGATTATTAAGAGTCTTACCTATGTTATTCATGAAGGATGGTAGTGTAGATTTCTTACTTTGTTTAAGATAAATTACCAAAGTCCAATTCTAAACATTCATGTGAAATTATTCATGATTGAATTATCAGCATTTGCACATATACCACAACTGGGATATACCTTAAGAAGTTCTTGATCGATCCCCATAGAGAGTCAACATTTTTTATTCCATTGCTTGAACCATCACCCCTCGGATCCCTCCTCTTAGTGAATTCATTGAACTTTCCTTTAGGTATTCCTGGAAAGCACAGTTAAAAAAGAATGAACAATTTTTCTTGTTCAAATATGTTCAGCATAATTTTAATCTGTTATACATTTTTAATTTCAGAAGTATCGGATTATAAAGAACTAATACCATTGTCACCCGAAGACAGTGAATCCCTTCTGTTAGAAGCTCTTAGTGAAGCTAACTGCTCAACAAGAACACGTTCGGTGCCACTGGTACAAGCACAATTTAAAGATAAAAGGAAATGATAACTACCAGAAACTAAATATAAATACACATTTACAAATAAAAAAAGTATTCCATTACGCAGAAAGCATTATGTGTTTTGTAGGCTATAGACTTTGAAGTAAATATGTTCTCAATATTCTCATGAAGGTGAATGATCATTGCAAACTGCAGATCAGTCTACTGTAACTGTTGTAATTAGAGAAAATATCTTTAAAATCTTCTTAGTTAGAGGAAATAGATATATAATCTTTTATTTTATTTTGTTTTCCTAGTTTTTCTATTTCTCTCTTTAGGAGAATTAGATTATTACAAATGGAGGATATGAGAATGTATTTTTCATGATTGAGAATAATAAATCAGTCTTATTTTCAACTGTAACCGCTGGAAACTGGGATTATAAGACAAGGAGTAATTTGTTCTCCAATAGCACCGTTAAATGAAACCCACAGAAGTGCAATAAAGGTTCTGGCCTCTAATCGATAAGGAAATAAAACAGGAACTAAAAATTGCTGCCCTTGGCAACCTCAATCGAAGAACAAAAACTCAGAAATTTCCAGTACATGCAAAGCTCTACAAGACAATCTGTGATGAACTTTTTCTCACGGGATATAAGATGCTAAGAAAAATACAGACCTGATATCCTTTGGAATAAGAACATTCACAATGAAGTAATGATTGCCTCGAACAAATGGTTTATTCATGTCTGGAACTCCCAAACGTGACAACTTCACCGAATCTCCAGGTTGAATCCCTGAAGGAATTTGAAGATCCCGTAAACCTTCAACTGTTTCAACCTGAAGTCACCTCAGTTTGAAGTTAGAAAAGCCTTTAAAGACACAAAGGCTACAGGATATCCCTCAATGTCATGAATAATTTCACTGAACTATTCTTATAAATGCAAACAGAACTTAAAATTGTATATGATCTCTGCCTTTAAGAACATAAATGAAATGTCTCAATATTATAATAGGGACTAGTTCCTACTTGAAGTACTAAGTATAACACAAAAACAACCTTCAAATACAAGTTAGGATATTCCTTAATTTATCAAATATTTAAACTCTTTACTAAGCTTGAAAGGAACTACAGAATGATTAAACTTGTATATTAGCACATCTTAAAAATGGTAAAGTAATATTATCAGATCCTAATAGATCATAATATATTAAGTAACAATTGTAAACTAAGGGTGAAAATGGACTAGGCCTGGCTATACATTACAAAGTGTTAGATGTTAAGATGTGTGTTTCTGTTATTTGGGCTTAGTCTATTCTGTATTAAGGGCATTGGCCCATATCTTACAATATAAATAAA